GGTCTATCACAAAGATCAGCGCCTGCATCACCCTCTTTGCTATCACAGTTGTTTAATTTACCATCTACGTCAACTATAGGATGAATAACGCCAGAATATATTCGACCCTACCCTAAAGTGGATAGAAATGCGCTCAAAAAGTCGAAGAAAGGAAAACAGCCAGGAAAATCAAGAATATATACAGATACTCCCGAAAAAAATAGACACGAAGAAATAGAAAAGGTAAAAGAAATGAAGTAGCAAGAGCAAGAGAGAAAACAAAGGGCTAAGGAGATGAAGCGCGCGTTAAATTTGCAATCAAATACAAATATAACCAAACCAAAGAGATAAAAAAAACTGTAGAGACTGATAGTGATGATGATACTGATGATATAAGTTTAAGAGAAAGTTCTTGTTCTCCCATCGAAGAGATGTCTGAGGGATCCGATTTTGAAAGCGATACTCCAGTTATAACAGAAAACATAAAAGAAAATAGCTTTGTGTTGGTTAAGTTTGAGAATAAAAAGACCGTTTTACATTATGTTGGGCAGGTGGTAACAAAATATGACCCCAATGAAAACAAAGTTTCATTTCTGAGAAAGAAGCCGGGTACCTGGAAATTTATTTTTCCCAATACCAAAGATGAAGGAACTGTTTTGATGTCTGTATACTACCTCAATCGAAGTCTGCTATTACAGCTAGAACAGCTTTGGGAAAGACCTGTCTGTGTACAATGTGCAATAATGGAGTAAGGCCTGTTACACTAATGGGTAATTATACCCAGTGTTGATTTTATTTTATGTAAAAACAGTATTTGTTATTTTGGATTTCAATAAATATTCATTTTTTGTATAAATGACTTTTTTAATCACTGTGTACGGAGGCTCCTCACCATGTACGAATGTGCCCCACACTATGTACGAACCTACCTGCTTTCGTACATTTTCCATTTTTTGGAGAAACCACCATGGCTTAGCCATGTTGCTTTATATAAACACTGAACTACACTTTTATTTAAGCCAGATATATAGGTATAAAGCAGCATTAAAATTATTTTGATATAGCTGTTAGTTTATCTTTTACCAGGCTTAGAGTAAAAAGTGTACGAATACTACCTCCTCTCCCTTAATACTTTAAAAAATAATTTGCACTGGAAAATGATACCTTTAAAAAACATATTAATTAGAATTTACACGTCGAAGAATTAAGTATTACTTTTTTTTTAAATGTTTGTAAGTACCTAAAAGATGTTGAATTATTTTTAATGTAATTTTTATGTGTAATACTTTTGTTACACATTTTTATTTTTACATTTTTTTTACTTGATCCTGCAAAAACATCCTTAAGGATTAAGGATCTAATTAGATATTTGTTTATACCTAAATATGTTTTTTTATATTTGTCCAATTAAAATTATGTGTACACATATTTTGGAATTAATTTTTATTATAATTATTATTATTTATTTTTCTTTTAAAATTAAAATTATGTGTACAGCTGTAAGTTTAATTCTAAAAAAAATTACGAATTAAAATTATGTTTATAGGTATTTAAATAACAATTATGGTTTTATATTTCTTGAATTAAAATTATGTGGACACATACATATATGATATTGTGTATACCTATACAAATTAAAATTTTATGGACATACCTATAATTTTAATTCTAAAATATAAATTAGGTATACCTAAAAATAAGAATTATTTGGACACATAATTTTAATTCTAAAAAAATATATACCTATTTAAATATAAATAATTAAGAGATTAAAAAGACCCGTGCACCCCTACACAGTTCTACGCAGTAGGCTGGGCTGGAATAACTTTTTTTGAGTATATTTTTTTAGGTAAGTAGTCTAAAAAAAGTTGCTTATTAGTTCCCTTATAAATTTTACCAATATGATCATATTTTGCTAAAATTTTGTAAATACCGTTGGCAACTGTATACAAATACTAAGAATTAAGAAAGAAAGAAAACAAATGGGGGCCCTGGGGTACCCTAACAAATTGAGCCAGTATAACCATATTTTAGTGGAATCCGGCAACCTCCTTTGGTAACTGTTTAAAACTACTTGGAATTAATGTTTCAAAAAATTATTTTAGGTCCCAGGGGTCCTATTCTGCTAATTTTTTTGTACTAATTTAGGATAGCCACTCTGTTGGGTAGAAATTTTTATTACTACTCCAATCGGGATATATATTTTTTTATTTGTTTTCGGTCCAGCCTACTTTCAGCCCGCCCACCTGTATCCTTATACTTTGCTGACAACTCTACACATAATTTTTATTTGGCCTGTTGCTCAGTGTTTTGAAAAAATTACACCTAACAAAAGTAAAGCATGCTTTTTGAGATTTAAAATGTCTTAGGGCTCGAAACCAATATCTTTTTGCAAAAATAATGCATATATGCATGCGCAAAATAGATAGATACATAGATAGACAGGTTTAATAAATTAAATTATACGGGTAGAATAAATGATTTACTTTTTCTTCCAAGAGTTATACTACTAGGTATAACAAAAATTAAGTGTATTAATTTTAAAATTTAGCGTAGGCATAAAATTAATATTAATTATTTTATATATGTATATATATATATATATAACTTTACCTCTGTAAAAAAAAATCGAACTCTAAAACGCCTTTTTTATTCTTTATGAAATTTTGGATAAAAATACTTTAACTTATATCTCAGTTTACGTGTTTGAGGGTTTTTCGAGAAAAATTTTTAAAGCCCTTTTATTTAATAATGAAAAAACGTTCTAAAAATAACTTTTAGGGTAATTTTTTTTAAGTAAATAAAAAATATGCTGTTAAATACCGTATTTTTGTTTGTATACCCTGAAAATTTTGTACAAATTAAACGAACGGTAACGAAAATACAGCGCTTTAAAGTCAGTAAAAATGGCCCCTTTTTGATTATTTTGCTGAAAAGTGGTCATTTTTGACGACTTTGAATCGCTGTATCTTCGTTGCTGTTCATTTGATTTGTACAAAAGGGTTTTTACAGTCTTGAACAGTATATTTTTTATTTATTAAAAAAAATTTCCCTAAAAGTTATTTTTCGAACGTTTTTTCAAATATTATATTACGAGAATATGAATTTAATCGGTTAAACTAGGCTCAGTAGTTTTTTGTTTGGGTTTTGTTGGAAAATGTTGAATGCAAAATAATTTAATAAAATCACGAGACCGCGTAGCGGTCGATGGGTTTTATTTTTAATTATTTTGCATGAAACTATTTTCCAAAAAGAAAAATCAAATAAAAAACTTACTGAGCATAGTTTTACAGATTAAATTTATAGGTTGAGTGATATACGTCTAGATTATTTCTCGAATTAAAGGAAACTATTTGACAGTTCATAAAATCTGACGTATGTGTCAAAATTTATAAATATTTTTTTAAAGAAAATTCCATTAATTTAAGGTATGTAATAAGTAATAATTGATATTTCGTAAACTAGATAACTTATTTTTTATTGTTTTTTAAAAAATGTTTGTAAAAACTTTTAAATAACATCATAAAATCGTAAACAAAAATCCAATATGGAGGCTAAAATTTAATCGCTGTTAAATAGTTCTAGTGATTTAATCGCTTATTTAAACGAAATTTATTCGAAAATTCAAGGCTTTTGATTGGTTCATATTATAATGAGGGAAATAATCATTATTAAATAAAAGGGCACGTATAACTGTTGAAGAATTTTTATCCAAAATTTCATAAAGGATATTAAAGGCGTTTTAGAGTTATATTTTTTTACAGTGGTTTCAAAAATTATGGCCAACACTGTATAATATAATTAATTAAGGAACGTTCTGTACTTATAATAAATTTATTTTATAGAAAACCAAATTACACTAGAAAATTGTCAAGATTTGACTGACTCCATGATAAGAGAACTTATTCTCAAAATTGGTACAAGTGAAAAAGCAGCCACTAATAACTATTAAATTAGTCATTTTTGACTAATTCATTTTTAGAGAGATAACAGATTACAATGTATTCAAATTTAATTTAGTACCGATAGTTATTTTTTCAAGTATAAGCACTTTTTTATGTCTCATGAAAACATTCCAGTTGATTTTGTAGCATATGTTTATCCCACAGTCTTTTCTGGTTATAAGCTACAATTTGTTTTTTTCATTTTTTTAGTCGTCTAACGCATAACCAATACGACATTATATGCGCGAAAATTATGATACTATTTCCAAATGAACTTAGTACCATTTATTACAAATCAGAACAAAGAAGTGGATATGTTCTTCAAGCAAAAGGAAAACTAGTTTATAAGGCCCATAACATACTTCATAATACCCCTGACAAAATATATGTTCGTAAAAGGAGGTATGATGAAAATACAGGAATCAATAATAAACAAACTAGAATTGATTTAGAAGGTATTAATTTAAATATTTTAATTTATATCGAAAACATACAATAGCATATTAATATCAATTGAATCATGCGGAGAAAAAAAACACTATGTAAACAACTGATTGTATGGAAAAATCACAACAAAATTATTTAAAATATTCTATTTTTAATTACATTTGAAAAAGGCATTTAAAAATATATGAGGAAATATTAAAACTTTTTTCAAATTGTTTTCAAAAATAATTTTTTTCAAAGAAACTTTTATAAGCGTTAATTTTTTTTACCAAAACAAAGTAAAAGAATTTCAATTAATTTATTATTCTGGCATATGTTCCTTTGTGGGAAATATATTTTAGATGAAAAAAATGCGATGCTGTGACTGACTCACAACAGGGAGCCTTGGGAGGACGTACTAAAATATTGGAATATCACTTTTGAAATAAGGACGACTGGAAATTTTAACACAGTCGTAGAATTTGCTAAAAAATGGCCTATTATTGGGGATCCCAGAGCAGATTCTTTGGTATGTATTATTTGGACATCTAAGCTTTAATAGTCATATTAGGTGAACAAAAAAAAACAACGCACGTATATAGAAAACTGATTTAGGGCAAAGCATAACAAATTTTATTTTATTTATTTCAGATTGAAGCAGATTTCGGACGGTTATATCCAGAAAAAAAAATTAATTTGCTGAATCGTTGGGATTCATTCTTTAATAAAGTTTTGGAAATTAAAAAAACTGAACTTAATACTAGAGATACCATACAAGACAATATACTGTCTATCTTGGAGAGCTTGGAAAATTTGTCCGAAGGTAAAGTCAACAAATATTTTAAATATGCAGCACTGGCATACTTATATATAGGTCCGGATTAATGGGAAACCGAGGCTTTAGCCCCGGGGGCTCCCCACATATTGAAGCCCAACCCAATCCTTGCATTCATAATTTTTACACTAAAAAAAATATTATTAATTCAACAGTTTTGCACAAAAAATATTATCTATGTTTTCTGGGAGTTAAAATAACTATTTATGAATGTTAAAATATAAACCAAGATGCATTTAAGGTTAAGAAATTTCCTAAATCGTAATTTAACAATTCCGATTTAGCACAAGCTTGCTTAACAATCTTAGATCGTCAGTTTAACTTGCAGTAAACATTGTTCGTATTTAATGTGCAAAAAAGGTAATTTAATATAATTTCTATTAGTGAATAACAATAAAAAAATATTATGTAGGAACGACGATTATCAAAAATGTACAAATGTACAATGTAGTTCAATACAAACATTTTTTAAATGTGAAGATAAAATTGTAAAGAGATTTTTTTTAATTAAGGGGAGCTTCCACTTTTTTTAATGCTCCACGGGTCCTCACTTCCTTGAATCCGGCTCTGTACTTACATAGTTTTGTTTTCTCTAAAGTTTATAGAAAATATTCTTAAGTATATAATTTTTAATCTGAATTTAAAGATATAAGTAATTTTAAAATCACAGTTCTTTCTCTCCCTCTATTTTAGACTCTAAAGTAGCACTGCAAATTGCTGTTTTGCCAAGAATCGCACCACCCAGAGGACGCATTAGAGTGGGAAAAACGCATTGGAAATTTAATACCAATGAGGCTGTAGAGGGCATTTTGGTACATGCTAGAGAAAGTTGATTTAATATACATATTTTAAGGATAATTCTTATTAATTTAGAACTAATGTTGCGATAGTCACATCAAAAGTGTGTAGGTGTCTGTTCTATTTATATATTAGTGTTTTTTTAATTGTATATTTTTTGTTTTAGGGTCCTGGTGATATCGACAGACAAATTGATGTCCAAATCGAAAAGGCAAATAAAAGAAAAATTTGTCGTAATGTTCAACCATACCTGTACAAAGTAAACATATTTGGCATGTAATACAAGAAGTCATATATGAAATTCCTCTTCAGAGCGGTTCAAAAATTACAGGACAAGCGGTTGATCTCATGAAGATTAAATTCTATTAGGTTTGTACATATGTATAATATAATGGTCAGACGTATATTTTAAAATATTTTAGACAAGTTTATATTAATATATATATTATATATTTTTATAAATTATTTTTTAAACTTTAGTAAAATGAAATGCTCAGTATGTTACAAATACATTTCAAATATAAATAAATTGGTGCATCACTGCACACAAAATGAAACATAACTATGAATGTCCCATTTGTAGTAGAAATATCAGTCGAAGAGATAATTTTAAAAAACACCTTTTGTCTGAACATAAAGACGTACCCCCCCGTGATAACACATTACCATTACAATTTCCAGTTTTTCCTGTTAAAGAAAATGTTAATATGATTAATAGGAATCAGATACATGACGATGAAAAAACAGAGCAATTTGTTTTAAAATCAAAAACCTCAGCATTTTTGTCCATTTTGGAACAAGAAGTTACTCAAATTATATCAAAGTTACACGTGGATTTAACTATTCATCGTAGTTTTATTAAAAAAATTGTGGTTCTCATCAAAAATTTCTTAAATTCGGGTTTTTTATCAATATTAAAAGAATTTATGTTTTCTTCTAAAGAACCTGATAATATTCATTTAAATGCAGCAAAAGATTTAGTTGACCGTGTTTTAAACTCTTTTAACTTGGTTGATACCGAGTATAAACGAATTAAGATCCTCGAAAGCAATAATAGTTATATTGAGCCAATTCAAAAAATAATTGGACATTCACAAGATGTATCAAGAAAAGATAACGTAACTTATTTAGTATTAAAACCTAGAACTTGTATATTTGTTTCAGTATCCGAAACACAATTGTTTAATTTCTTTCTCTTCCAGGGATTTTAAAAAGTATTCAAGATTATCATAATCAGTCATATGTTTTCAAAAATAGTGAATTTGGGGAAGTTAATTATAAAAATCTATTAAACGGCAGTATATGGGAAGGTATTTTAAATTCTACGCAGGGCAAATATTATATTCCTCTACTTGTTTATTTTGACGACTTTGAAACCTCCAATCCACTGGGAAGTCACGCAGGAGTCTATAAAGTTGGAGCTGTCTATTTTAGTATTGCCTCTTTGCTACCAGAATATATAAGTAGACTAGAAAATATTTTTGTCACTGTTTTATTTCACAGTTCGGAAAGAACGGAATTTGGTAATGCGTCGGTGTTTAATTGTCTTCTAGAGGATTTAAAAAACTTAGAGTTTGCTGGTATCTTAATTAAAAGTGATAGTCAAGAGATAAGACTTTATTTTGCACTTGTTTTAATAGTACACTCTTAGAAAAGACCTGGTATTTGTAACTAACTTATTATCGTTGGGGTAAAACTGTTGCAGAAAATAAAATTTTTTGTTTTTTGTAATCAGTACCTTTATATGTGTAACTGCTTGCATCATTACCTAAAAAGATTTAGTTTTGTTGTTGAGTATTATTTACTGCAAAAAGGCGTTTAAGTTATTTTAACTGAAACTTTGTGTTGGCTAGAAGTATTGACAACATTATCTCAAAAAAATCATTTCGGCGGTAAAATGTTTTTGTTGGACCAAATATTTAAGTAACATTCTCAACTGACTGAAATTAGTCCGCGGAACTAACGGTTCGGTTGTATAAGCTATGCGTCACTTTTCACACAGCTAAGACACCAGCGGTGTGAAACAAAGTGTCAGTTGGGGATGTTAACAATTGTCTCTGTAGGTTAATGCAACTGCAAACTTTGTGCATTTCGCGCGCGATTTGTCCAGCCCGGCGCGTGCTTTACTTTTAACCTGTAAACAAACGGTGTTGCACGGCGTCCAGACTTCGATGGTGTTTGTTCTTTTGTATTTGTGTATCAGCTCGTGTGTAGTGTATATTTTAGGTAAGAAACTAGTTTACTACAATTAGTCATTTGCCCCTGTAAATTCAGTGGCGACATACTTTTTAACTATTCATATATATAAGAATATATTCTTATGTGTTGGTTACTTATAGATATCTCGAACAAATAATATGGATGAGCGGACTGAAGTAGCAGATTTATTAGGAACATGGGGTTTACCTGAATTGGTTCCAGTTTTTAAAGATTAGGTATTATTATTGCACTCCTTTAATTACACTATTGTAGTTTTGGGGTCCGAAAAAAAATCCAAAAATGTGAAAATGCCATTCCGACTGAAAATGGCCTCCTGAATCCAATGGTGCCCACCAAAAGTCTCCATCACGTCGGAATTTCGAGAATTTTTTTGTTTTGTTTTGTTACAGCTCAAGTCGCATTTTTGGTATAGGGCCTATACTATAGGCACTCACACTCAAAATGTATCGAATGCTTACCCCTGTTATCATGCAAGTATGTTACGTTGTACCTAAGAATCATTGTTAAGTTGTTAAACAAAGGCTTGCACTTCACGTAAACATCACGGTTTACTGAAGAAGTATAGTCAACTTTCATCTTAATGTACCTATCTGTGTATATTTACCAAAGAATCGTTTTTGTTTTATTGTTAAAATATTTATAAATGTTTTCTTAGAGTAATTATTAATTTTTGTTATAATGTTTAAACCAAAATTTGGTGTTTTCAGTTATATTGTTATTTTTTAATTTATAATAAATATTTATAAAACGAACGGACATGAATTTCCTTTCTCTATTTTTTATAATATTTACACAAAAAGTGTTTATTTACTAAGCAGGTATGTACTGTGGAATAATACCAATTTGTTGTTGCTACTAATGCAAGCATTTAATATTAAATATAACTTAGTTAGTTCAATTAAAAAATAAATTCCTGCATGATACAATGTTTGTTGCGATAAATAGCAAGTGCAGTTGTTACAACTTAGACGCTGCTAAAATGACAGACTAATGTGATTGCATTAAATATCAATTATTTGTATGAAAAAAAAACTAATTTCGATGCACTTAAACTTGTTGGTTGGAGCTACCAATATTGGCTGTTCCGACAACAAACTGTAAAAACAAATTTGTATTAGTTCCCACAACATATTTTTTTGTTGTGCCTATTTTCACTAATAAAATTGGTTCTGGGAACTAAATTTTCATTGCAAATACCAGGTCTTTTCTAAGAGTGTAGGTGATAACCTTGGGCTAAATTCGATATTTGGATTTACTGAAAGCTTTTCTGCAAATAATTTTTGTCGGTTATGTATCACATCCAAAGCAGTTACAAAGCAGCAAACCCAGCTTATTGATACTCATGATCGGTCTGAGGCCAAGTATGACAAACATGTTAGAGAAAAACAGTACGGCATAAAAGCAAACTGCATCTGGAACGAATTAAAGTATTTTCACGTGTATCAGAACCAATCAGTAGATTTAATGCACGATCTATATGAAGGTATACATCGATATGACATGACTTCAATCTTAAATAAATTATTGCAGGAAAATTGGTTTTCTCTTGAGATTTTAAATTCAAGACTTAAATATTATAACTACGAATATAATGAACACAATCATCCGCAACCTGTTAAGAAAGAACACCTTGAAAAAGGAATGATAATTTTCTCTGCTTCTGAGATGGCTTGCTTTGTCAAAAATTTTAGGTTTATAATAGGTGATCTTGTTCCTCCGGATAACAACATTTGGCTGTTTTATTTAGATTTATTGGAAATTACGGAAATACTGTCAGCATCTCCAATATATTATCTCAATATTATATCAACGTATTTAAACAAGTTGTTGCAGTTATTTCCTTATTTCATACTTAAACCTAAACATCATTTTTACTACACTATGCAAATATCTTAAGAAAGACTGGGCCTGTTTCAAAAATTTCTGTTATGCGATTTAAAGCAAAACACCGCGATTTAAAAAAAATTGCAAATAGTGTTCAAAGCCGAAAGAACATTCCATTAACTCTCGCAAAGAGATGTCAGATGCAATTTGCTATTAGGTGTATTTCTAATAGTGGTTTGGAAGATCGTTTTAATTCAAGTAGACCAAATTTTAATACTTTAAGTTTCGAAAATTATGAATTTTTAAATGATTTCAATATTAAGTTCTTCAAAGAAAACTTTCATGAAGTTTACTGGTTCGAAAAAAATGGAGTTAGATACAGTTTATTAGATGTCGTTTCTTGTAGAAAAAAAGAATATTCTCTGATTAGACATATTTTGGTAGCACATAAAAATATGAATAAGTATTATTTTATTTGTGAACAGTTGTACATAGAAGGCTTAAACAATCATTATAGGTCACACATAGTGATTCATAGCAATAAATATGTTTGTGTTGGTTTAGATACTATTATCTGTTTTTCAACAATCATTCGAAATATAGAAAATTTAAAGTTATTATCGTTTTTAAAACCGTTTTAGTTAAAAAATAATAATGAAAGATCAGCAGCATTACAATGTATTACTAGTACCACAGTATATTGGCCCAACGTATGATCTACATTGGGCCAATATATTGTAATACTGGAGATGTTTAAATATTTAAAAGGTATTAAAAACAACAATCTGAGCACGTTTCATTTTACTTAATAAAGCTCAATCCAGACTTAAACATTTTTGCCTAAACGAACCGAAAGAACTGAGCGTGCAGAGTAGAATTCGGAAGTCTGGAGCTCGGAGATACGTCCAGACTTCGGGAATTCTGCTCTGCGCGCTCAGCTCGTTCGGTTCCTTCGGGCAAAAATGTTCAAGTCTGAACTCAGCTTAATACATTTTTTATTTATATGTAGGTATATTAGCTGTCTTTAAAAAAACTTGAAGTATTTTTAGGCAAGAAATATTGTTTAAGTTTGGTATTTACATATAAGTCTATTAACCTGTTTTAATATATAGTATTTAGTTAATACTGTTACTGTTATAATGTTTATATAAGACTCTTACCTACCCCATAACTCATGCGCTGTTATAAAGAATATGTAAAAATACTATAACTAATTAACAAGAATATAAAAAAAAATTAGGTTTCACAGAAAGTCCAAAAATCACCTCTCAGAACAGCACCGTGAATATATCGTTGTCTAAATGGCAAAATTAAGGCTCTAATCCGCAAATGTTGTTTTTATGGGACACGAAAGAAAATCATAAATATTTAATTTTATAAAATGTTTCTTAATTTTTTTTTGGTATATTATACTTACCAAAAAAAAATTAAATATGCAAAATAACTCAAAAAAGAATTTAACAAACATTTTATAAAATAAAATATTTTTTTTTGGATCCCATAAAAACAATATTTGCGGTTTAGATAGAGCCTTTTGCCGTTAAACCATCAATACATAAAAATATATAATTATTAAGTTAATAATATTACAAAATTTTGCTAAATATATTTGTAAATTAGCATTGTAATTTTAATGTTTTTTTGTAGGTAGGAAATAAAATAAAATATACTTTTTGATGTATTTTTATTGATTTTATTAATTCAAACTGTATATTTCAAAGTAAACAAATAATGCTTATTTTACAGTTTTTTTTATACAAAATAAAACTCAAAAGAAAAACAACTTAAAACATGATTATAGGTACGTATAAGTTTATATTTATAAATAAAAGTAAAAATTTATTATGTGCTTCAAAAAATCACACTTTGTAGTGACTAATTTTTATTCAATATTGGTAAGTTTTGTATATTATTTCAGAGTAAACAATAGGTATTAATTTTTACAGAATACTGCACTGTACTATTACAGATAAAGGAAAATTTTTAAATTTAACCGTCTATTTAGTATATAAATGTGTAATGCATGATTTTATATTTAATATAACAATTGAGCTTGCACTGAAAAATTTTTTTTTTAATGTTAATATATTTTGTTGTCTTATTTCATTTTTGGTATTGTTAAACGATAATTTTGCTAATCAAAATTACTGTTCTTTTATTGAATACAACAAAGTACTTTTTGAAATAGGATAACAAAATAGTATTGCTATAAGTTTATATAATGGTAAACGCCGCTGTATAAAATACTACTACATGTCTTAAATTTTTAATTTTACGACTACAACTGATATTATATATGTTACCGGCAATGTGAAAAATCCGACAATGTGCGAAATGTCTAGATACTCTGCAAACTGACCAATTTACCAGACATTGTGCAAAATCACTACCATCTTGGGCAATCTGCAAATTTACTACGCTATTTTAGGCAATTTGCAAAATGTCTGATGCGATAGTCAATCTGGGGATTAAAGGTTTTTACTTCTCACATTGACTAGGCAGTATGCGCAACACTAATTTACGATAGAAATGTAAAATTGAAAAACTGAATTTTGTTTTTAGAAAAGAAATACTACAAATAAAAATTAAATTTACAAGCACTTGTTATTTATATAATGGTACAACAAAATATGGTAAAATAAAACTTTTTTAGAAAGGTATTTATTTTCGCCGTGATTAGAAGTACACCGGGAGTACTGGCATTAAACGTACATCAGGTTTGTGCGCATGCGTGTTTCCATACCAGCTGATGGTAAATTTTCAAATTTATAAGTTGAGATTAAATTGGTACACTAAGGCCCAGTTGTATAACAGTTGGAAAACAGCTTGTTAACTCTTGATAATAATTATGTAATTATTTAGCTAACTTTCAAGTAGTATAAACATTGATTAAAATTTAATTAAGTGATTGAAATACAATTAACAACAAAATTAATGAAATGTCAGTATGAATTACTCAAACCAACCCAAACTCAACAACCCAACCCAACCGACCCCGCCCCATTGGCCTCCCCCGCCCCATTGAGCGACCATTCAATATTATACAATTGATAAATATAAAAATTTGCTAAATAAGGATTTTTCCACCCGGTGTACCTTTAATGCCCGTACTCCCGGTGTACTTCTAGTCACTTTGATTTATTTTTGCAGGGATGACTGAATAGCGAAGTTCAACAGAAGTAAAAGTATTGCGCACACTGCCTAGTCAATGTAAGAATTAAAAACCTTTAATCCCCAGATTGACTATCGCATCAGACATTTTGCAGATTGCCTAAAATAGCGTAGTAAATTTGCAGATTGCCCAAAATGGTAGTGATTTTGCACAATGTCTGGTAAATTGGTCAGTTTGCAGAATATCTAGACATTTCGCAAATGCCGGATTTTTTACATTGCCGGTAACATATATATTTTAATTTCATATACATTTTACCTATACGATATATTAAACAAAATATAACATACTACTATTGTAGTATTAAATACTGCAACGAAAATTAAAACGACGTAGGGTTGTATGCAATACTACAACAAAATGTAAAAAACATTACCGACGTATTATAATATATATTATACCACTAAAAGTTATACAAACCCAGAGAAAACCTGTTTGTCTGCAGACAAAGCTTTCATAAACATGTGAAGGTCAGAGGCAAACATTATTATAGAGTCACTCTGTGTATAGAGTTGTGCGATCCATTATGGAACAATTACTTAAAAGTTTTGGTTTTGAAGAGTTAATTGAAGTTTTTCTAGGTAAGTAAGCATTTTAAGTGTATTTTTAAAGTAAATTAGTAATAAGCTTATGTGAATTTATAGAATGGGGCAGGGAAATTAGAAAAACAATTAATTTATTGTTATGGACATAATTCATAGGGCGTTTCATTTGTCTTTGGGTTAAGAGAAAAATCTTTTAAAATTTAAGTTTTTCGGTCGAATTACTTAAAAAGTTCTCGAAAAAGTTAATTTTCTAATATTCTAATAACCGATTCTTTATTTTACTTTTAGTTTCATATTTACTTTTTAACTATTTGGGGAAATTATCTGAGGTAATTGTTTACATTAGATTTTCTGTTAAATAAGGCCCTTCTTATAAAGAATCTGTTAAAAATGTTGTGCGAAAAAACATATTTTTCTCTTTTAAAAATTAAAAAAGGTTTACAATTTTTGTACCAGTGGCGGCTGGTGGATTTTGGGTATACCGTTTCCATTTACCGCTTACCATTTAACGGAGTCCGCAGGTATTACTTTGTGTGTTTATTAATGTGGCTGCTCTATGTGGTGCGCACTCTGCATGCGTAACAAAATCGTCCGTTGCGTCCGTGCGTCGCTATTGCTTGGGGGGCGATTTCGACGACTGGTCCGCAGCAGTTTAGAAAAATTTCCGTGGGAAAAGCACGTGGTTTTAAAAATATTTCCGTGAGAGAAGTACGTTTAATTAAAAAAAAGCAAATACTTATTACATCTTAGAAAATTTTTTGCAAGTTCACAAAAGAGCAGGACGAAATTTTAATAGATAGCGTGTCTCGACATCCTGCTCTATATGATGCCTCTGAAACAACTTATAAAGATAATATGGTGCGAGATAATATTTGGCGGGAGATTGCAGAAATTATAAATAGAAGCAGTAAGTTATAATTTTTATATTTATTAAAAACACATTTACATTTTCAGTTTTTGTCTGTTTACAATATAATTTTTTTGTTTTATGTATATATAAAAAACATTCATATTTACACTTTTAGTTTGTGTCTGTTTGATTTATTAATTTATCCTGCCAATTGACTCTTCCTTGCCTGCTACAAAAGTAATTCTTAAATTCCTCTCGTGTTCTAAATGCCTCTAATGACGCATTTCCTCCAGTTCTACTTAAAGGCGTCATATTTTCAGTTGGAAGCATTGTGTCTTTTTCTTCACTTCTGTTTGAACACAGTTTGAGTTTCTTAGCAAATTATGCAAACAACAACATGCTATAATTAACAACTCAGCTGAATCGGGTTTAATAGCAATAGGTGTAAAGAATTTATCTAAAAGTTTGACACATAATGCCAAAGGCATTTTCTACAGTTCTTCTTGCTCTACATAGCCTGTAGTTAAAGATACGTTTCTGATTATCGGCAGTTTGATCTTTTGGATAAGGACGTAACAAGTATTTTGAAAGTGGAAAAGCTTCATCCCCTATAATAACATGTGGCACTATGTCACTGTTTGGTAAGGATGCTTCTGCTGGAATGCAATAAGCTTCGCTTGAGAAAAACTCATAAAGCTTTGACTTTTTAAATATTCCACTGTCGCCTTCTTTTCCGTACGAACCCACATCTACACATATGAATTTATATTTAGCGTCAACTATTGCTAGCAATACAATGGAGAAATAAGATTTATAATTGAAATACAAAGAACCTTTATTATTTGGACATATTATACGGCAATGTTTTCCATCTATTGTTCCGCAACAATTAGGAAAATTCCATATTTTGCAAAAGTCTTCAGCAACAGCTCTCATGCTCTCTGCTGTGGGAACTGGTAAATAAATAGGCACCAGCTTCTTGCATATTGCTGCAAATACTTGTTTGACGATTAAACTTATGTGGTTATGTAAAATTCTGTAAGCAAATGCTAATGAACGAAAAGACTCTCCAGTTGCCACATATCTAAAAATAATAAAAAGTTTTAATGTCATTTTAGCCCAAGACTGTAAAACAAGATGGCGAACATTAAGGGATTTATACAACAGAAAAATTAAACTAACATCAAACCAACCAACTGGTTCGGCTGCAAGCGGCAAAGGATTAACCTGGGAGTATTTGGATCAAATGTCATTCCTTTGAAAAGTTCCACATGCAAAAGCTAAGATTTTAAAAAGGCGGTCGTCATAAACTGTTATCTTATATTTTTTTTCTTCTACTTAGTTCTTTTACCAATCTTTATGACAGTTCGTCTACGGTTTCTGGCCAACCTCAAAAAACAGTAGCTGATATAGATGAAAGTTAACAGGTAGAAGCAGAAGACGAAAATAGTAATCCAAAAAGATCTTTAGAACAGTTTGACAAACCCAAGAATGAAGCAAACAAGAAGAAAAAGACGGACCGTGTTTTGAAGTTATAGAGAACAGAGGAAAAGAAAGAAATTAATTATTTCGTCAATTGTTGTCAGCTCCGTCAGCTCCGTCTGCATCTGAATCGAATCTCATAATGACGTTTTTTTAGAGTATGGCCCAAACTGTAATGACTTTTCCTCCACATCTAGCAGTGGAGGCAAAAGCCAAAATTTGCCAAATTATCACCGACTTAAAATATCGTTCCATTTCACAGCACCAGGAGCCACGAAATTCTTATCAGCCAAGTACCATAGTCAGAGGCGAGAGTAGTGCGAGTTACAATAGTTTGGACTTTATGTCTGATGAATCAAGTTTACTTAGCTCGCCAAGCTCAGAAAATATTAATTACCTTAACTTGTAACAATTTTTTTTTAAATAAATACTACTTACTTAATGACAAAAGATTGTTTACTTACCTAAGAGTCACAGCTAGTTTTTCATATGCACTTATTGGTTGCTGCACAAAGCTATTTGGCGGCGTTTCTATTTCAGGCCTAATGATATTAGGAACTTGCTGGAATTTCATTTTATTTAATCTAAAATATTCTTTAAACTTTTGGTCATTAGCTTTTAAATGATTTTCAATTAAAACATTAAAGGTGCCTTCGACTCTTCTTCTTTTTAATAAACCACTTATTTCACCTCTGTCATCTAATGTTAGCAATACCAAATCGTCATCTTCTTCCTCTTCAAGGAACAAAGCTAGAAATGCTTTTTTATTCTCCATAATATACGTGCATTCAGACACTTTTAAGAGAAAACTAAATAAATAAAGTAAATAACAATAATTTCCAATTGCGCAGTACGCACTCTAAATAGACCACCACAAATGCGGAGTCTGCAAGCGCACAACGCAATGCATACTCCGCGTGCAGACTACGCAGTAGATAGACCGTACCTTAACAATAACAAGGGTAGTCATGCGCAACGCGTCGCTAAGAGAAATTTCTTATTGATAAGCACTGATTAAGCAAGTTTTCCTTATTGATAACGACTATTAAGGAAAAAAATATCTCAATTATTAGTTATGGAACCCACACCAAATTTATATGAGTTTATAATGACATTAAATAAACAATAATAAAAATTTAAAATGGTATAAAATCTGTATGATTTGGATTTTTTAAATAAAATTTAAAATTTGTCGATAAACTATGATACCTAAATAAGTAATTGCTCCAATTAATTTTTTTTCGCAAACTTCAATTTAAATTCTGCTTGCGCTGAACTTGTTTATTTAATTTGATTATAAACTCATATTAATTTCGTGTGGGTCAGATATGGGACCCATATAATAGGAGATATCATGATAATATTTTTTTGGATTTTGGGTATACTGCAGTATACCCAAAATCCAAAAAAATATTATTTTCCTAGAAATTAGATTAATCAAAGTGACTACAATGCATTAAAACTAGTAAGGTTATAAACCTGTACAAAATAAGTACCTAGAGGCATGCTAATATGCTGCGATTTGAAATGTTACAGGCACACATATTTGTTATTGGGCGTTTGTTTACGTTATACAATTAAAACCGTTGAGTGAAGAAATCAATATTCAGTTAATTCTTTAGTCAATGATTAAAACCTTGAAATATGGATGACAATCTGTATGGCTTGAAGGTAGAATATTTAAAAACAATGATATTTTTATGATAAATAATTAATTAAATAAATAATATCAATAAATAATTTAAAAAAACGTATACAAAGACTTATTTGGAACTGTTTTCCCAATTAATTAACACCCTGTGCAACTGATCTTTATGGCAAATCCATTTTTTTGATAAGCTGAATATTTTATAAAGAATGTCTTTTTTGTAAAATTAAAAATAATAACATATATTAAAGAACTAATGTTATAAAACGCGTCTTATAACATTCATGTCCCATTTAAAATTTTGAAATTAAATGATAAAATAAATTAATAAACATTGATGTCATAACAAATGTAAACTTAGAAAAAAAATTCTGTATAAAATTTTGTTTTACATTAAATTTATTAGTGAAATAAAAAAAACTCTAAAGAAATTTATAGGAATTTTTTTTTGCATTTAAAAATTAAATTTGGATATCACAGAAAATTGCCACTGAAAATCACAGAAAAAAATTTTACCACATACGTACTAGAAATAAGTCTTATACAAGATAAAAAAATAATTCTTTATTAAATTTCAGCCCCCTTGTAAATAATCACGAAAAAGTTTTATTATAAATTGCTTTAATAAAATTTGTACATTTTAAATTTAGTTCTGTATAAAACAAATACTAATTATAAATAAATTAAAGCTTTAAAGCATTCTCAAATTGCGGTTGGGTTGGGTTTGTTATTATGTTAATTTTCATTAGTCTTAAAATGTTAAAAATATAAAAATTTGTAGTTGTGTAGACATTTTTTAAACAGAAAAGTAATACAAAAGCTACTGATTTAATTTTATATACTTACCTACTAGGTATAACTTCAACTAATTAAACATAGATTTAATAAATACTTTATGTATTTAACAGACAAAATATTTTTATGAAATCTTGTTACAAAGAGCTAATGTAATAATGTGAGTTATGTCCAAAACCTTATTTTCAGTGAAGTATAAGATACAAACCTGAAAGTATTTACTCTTACAGTCAACGAAATAGATGAAGAAGCCATTTCATTGCTAACCGAATCGGAAATTGCTGTTTTAATACCACAAATAGGCAAACGGCTTAAGTTTAATAAAAAATGGAAAGAACATTTTCAAGTGAATATTTAATTTTCATTTATCATTTTACAATATTCTATGATTTATTTATTATTTATTTTTTTGCTTTTTTTGTTTTGCTGCTTTTTTATATTTTTATTATATCTTTAGGTAAAGAATAATTCGTCGCTTATTGGCAATCTTGGTGATATTAGCCTTGAAAACCTTCCAATATTTATAAATAACATTGAAGAAAATAAGGAAGAAAACAATATATATATCAGTCATCAACGCCATTTTCAGAACTGCTGTCAACAGCACCAAGTGCATCAACTGATGACAATACAAGAACTTTTATTCCATCTGATGTTTCATCAGTTTATGAGGTATATTATAATTTTATTTTTATATTTATTGTTTAAATGCAACAATTTATAGAACGAACTTAAAAAACTTTTGAATCGTTCTGTTGATGGAGTGGAAATATTGGAAACGTTTAGAGTAACTGGAACGTTGAGCTTTAGTTCAATTAATCATTAGTAGTGAAATAAAATGTGACCCCGATCACAGGTATACAGATTTTTTTGTTTTTCTATTAGCCAAAGTATATAATATATTTTTTAGAATTACTAAAGAAAGATTTCTAAAATTGGCGCAAGATATTTGCCAACTATTTCCTGGAGAATCTTCTGAAAGCTACTACATTTCCTCGTATCGCAATGCCAAAGGTGCAAGTGTGTCTGCTCATGGAAAACTGTATGATAGGTACAGTAATCAAAGATGTAAATTTCAGAGACTAGAACTTATTCCCCGAAAATCAAAGAAACATAAGGCATCTGATCAAAAGGAGGAAGACATTGAAGGTATTTAAATATGATCATAATGTTTTATTTAAGTAACTTTTATTTCGATTTTGCAGTAAGTGAAGACAGTATCAGTTGGCTGAAAAACAATAGTCAACCGTGGCCAGATGTTTTAAATCGTTGGAAAGTCACCTCAAAAGTACGGCTGCATAGATTTTATCATAGTACCATTGCCATACATGAGTTTATGAAATTATATCCTGCTCTAACCGAGCCTTTGGGATATTCACTGGTAAGTTAAGGCAACAGTGTCCGCTATAATATTGTAACAAAATTTTTAGATTTTATTAGATTTTAAAAGCTTGCATCCTAACTCTGAATCAAGCCTATTTAGGAGGTGGCCCATTTTGTCAACTTTAATATTAAATCTCGCAAATAAAAAAGGTTGTGATGTTACAAAAAACATTCTTTGATCATCTACCCCTCAGCCCGGCCCATTATCAGCACCTGATCCATATCGTCGATCATCTACCCCTCAGCCCGGCCCATCATCAGCACCTGATCCAGATCGTCAACCATCTACCCCACAGCCCGGCCCATCATCAGCACCTGATCAGCCTCCATCCGCTGGCAAAGTTCTTGAACATATCTCTCCGTTGCCCACAATTCCTCAGGGACTAAAAAAGCGCAGTAGAAGTATTGCCACTCTATTAACTTCAACCGAAAACATTGAAAAAGCAAAGTTACTAAAACAACGTCAGGTAAAACGCAAAGGTTCTGTAAAACCTGATTTAAAATTGGCCAAAAAGGCCAAAAAAGTAAAGCCGAGAATGTCTTCTTCCGAATCAGATGAAGAATACGAAGCGAAAGAAGATAGTGATAATGACATTGACGACGAGATTAATGAAAATGAATGTGCTGGATGTCTTGAAGATTACAACTCGACAACTCGTTCCGATGATTGGATCTGTTGCGTTTTATGCAGTCGCTGGATGCACGAGAACTGTACTAAACATAAAAATATGTGTGATCTATGTGGAAAACGTACCCAAAAGACAATTTAAGAAATTAGACATTCATTTTGTGCTCTTTCTTCTTCCAAAGATATTATTTTAGTTTGTGCCATCTATCCCTGACAGGTCGGGAGAGATGACAAAGTTCCGTTTTTTTACAGGATTTTTTTTTTTGATAAACTGATTATGTTTTGTAACTTTTGTTGTTAATCATGGGTTAAATAAAGTTTGTTTTAAATTATGCCTCATTTGTTTTGGTTATAACTATTTTGCATCATAAAAACATCCAATTTTTCGAATTGTGGGGCATCTCACCCGGACTTACCCTATATATATATATATATATATATATATATATATATATATATATATATATTGTGACGAAATTTAAAATTTAATTTCAAAAATTATTAAATAACTTGCGCTCACATATGCGCGACTACTCTGTTTTATCGGGAGCGGATGTGGGTAAGTAAATAACGATTGCTAATTGGGCGCCAGCCAAAAGAAAACCTTTGACAAAAAAAGGAAATTGGAAAAAAAGGATATTTTTGGTTTCTTCTAAATAAAAAAAAATGTGTCTTCCTTTAAGTAAGTAATTTACTGTATAAATCAGGTAAGTAAATTTATCAATGTCAACTTTTGAGTCACAAAACAAAATCTAGATGCTATTATAAATACCTGACACAATTGTACGTGGCTTACACCGAAATAAAATTGAATATTCTTACTCAGTGGTGACTTGATTACTTTAAACAATATTTTCTTTCAGGATCACTCAGGTTACAATCAAAACGTTCAACAAATACTTCTTTAACGGTCGACACAATCGGGCTTACAACTTGAGGGACGTCGCAACGCAGGACAGCAGGTACGTTTTTGCTTCTCCAAAATATGTGAATTCTCTACTAGGCTTAATTTCAGCTAATGCTTAGGATTCTTGCGTTATCAGAAAGAATGAAGAATGAATCGTGCAGAATAATTATTCTTATTATTCCAATTATAATAAACAATAAAGAATAAATGATAAAGATCAAATCCTAAAGATTAAAGTATTAAAGGCCTAAAAATAGAATAACAGTTTAGAACCTCAAATACAAGAAATATAAAAATGTGTTTTACCTTAGATCTAGTGTGGCCTTAACGTGGTTAATAAAATTAATTGTTCGTATTTAAATTGTGTGATGATTACAATAATCGAAGCTACAACGATATTTCTGGCTCTCCCTTAATATCGTATACCAGGTGCTTCCATCACATCTATCAAATAAAATGGATTCTTTCCGGATCCTCTGTCAAAACCACACCAATCAAATTGGTTTAACACATCTCATAAAAAATTCAAATTAGGTTATAGCGCAGAATCCCTTACGTAGACTCTGAACCACAAAATCCCGCTAGCTCAGATGGTCGTGGGTGAATGTCCTTCGTAATTACTACTTACCTTCGAACTTTTAAAATTGGGCACCAAGTAATTTTTTTTATGGGATGAGAATAAAAGAAATTACTAAAAAAAAGTTAAAGTGTATTTCACACGAAGTTTATGTATAAAAAAATACTTAAATCAGATCCCCAAGATAAGTTATTTAAAGTACAAGTGATTTAACGTACAAGTTATTAAAAGTACCCTGGTATTACAGTATGATATTTAACACCCTTCGTGTATATTGGCCAATGTACCCGCAGTTCACACTAATCGAAGTTTATATGAAATATGATTAAAGTTAAAAAAAAATATTCTACCAGGACCTAATTGTTAGTGAAAGAAATGGATCTGACCTTAGTTGTGCACTTTGTAATACAAAATTGGTGTACGTGGAGCTTTTCCTGTATGAATTGTACGTCAGTCCATCCGTGTACGGTATCCAATATCTAATATCCTGGTGATCGTGGGTGACACAGGAGGTGCGACTTAAAACAATTTGATCTTTATACTTGATACAATAAACTTGCTCGAGACTTAGACTGAGGCTCTAGGCCCAGAATTAAAAAATTAATGCTTAAAAGTCAAAACTTAAAACGTAAAACGTAAAACGTAAAACGTAAAACCCTTCGAGAAGGGTTTTGTCTCCGTAGGAAATAGATCTTAATTATCTCCAAATCGTATCAAAAGCGGATTGATGTAGATCCAGCAAAGTTTGGTCAGGTGAAGTTAAATCCAGTTATATCCGAAATACGATCCTATCGGCACTCAAAATACCATCAATTGCCAACAAACAACATTGCACGGTTCCTAATATGAATAAACATGTCTTATATCCCTTTAATAAGGTTTCACTTGGCAGAGCGAAAAATCGACCATGTTATTCTCTGGACAACCATCACAAGACAAACCTGCTTCCGGCTTCTACATTACTTTGTCCCCCTTCAAAAACCAGACCTGCGCACAACCATCCCAAAATGTCAAAATATGCTCTTAAATGGAAACTAACCATGTCAAATAAACAAAACAATTACTAAAAGTCTGACAACAATAAAAACTCCCGATATTAAACAACATATAGCGGTAAAAAGGCTTGACAAAAGATCTTAAATTCAAATTAGGCACGAAAATTAAACCAATAGGAAAGCAACTACAACAGGTGCCGGATATATGAACAGTGTTGCTCCGTACATTGCATCCTACACGAACCTGCCTATTCCACGCTTTAAAATCGCTGAGCGATACACTTGGCAACCCCGCGATAAAACGCCGCCTAGTGCGATCAATTCGATCTACCTTTACGTCAATACAAATGTCAACCCGTTTAAAGTAAGTAAACAATTAATAACTGAATAACTCTACGACCACAGTTCTAAAAGATGAAGGCTACATTAATAAACACGCTTTTTGTTTTTAGGTATCATAAGCAGCACTAACTGCTGATCCCGCCAACAACTTTTGAACTAAGATTGCAAAGTCAAACATTCATTATTTAAGACATCCAAAAGCAATAAAACAAAGGTAAGTTAGGCACATTGTCTAAAAAATATATATCACAAACCAAGTTTATAACGTAAGCCAACTATTATTAAATTCTATTACTTTTAGGTTATGCTGGACGAATGACAAGGTTATTACATATTTGTATTGTTGTTGATGTTGTTCAATAAAGTTTCAAGAATTAATAGATGTTTTAGTTGTCATGAGGAAGTCTTAAGGAAGTAAAATAAAATAACCAAGGGCAAGGCAAATTTACAAAACTACGATTACAATGCTCAACACTGAACCGTAGTATACATTATCTAACAAAAATAGGGTAAAGCACAATTTCTTGTGAAACAAAAATGGTAGTATTAAAATCCAAACCGTAAGGTTACAAGGTAATAAATTTAATTTTTAATTACATGAATTTAACACTAAATCATTTATTCTTGCATTTCAGTTTTTCCACAACTTCTCTGGAATTGAACAATCCAATTGTTTTTGGAGAAACATAAAAATTTTACCAAATTTAATAAACAAACAACAATAATTATGGTTAGAAAACTATACCGGTTGTCCCTCGATATTGACTTAGTATAACAATTTGGAGATTAATTGCTATCTTGGTTGCCTAATGACGTCAAATAAATGTTTATTTAAATAAAAATTACTTTAATCAATTTACTATTTTCGTATTTAAACACCTCAAAAGGAGAAACCGTTACAATATATATATATATTGTAAAGATTTCTCTTTACCCCCCAGGTTCGTTAAAACAAGTTTTATGAAAAATTGATAAATTAAATATTTTGTGGCTTTGGCTTGTGATCGTCTTCCCCAAATTTGGACCTCTACGCTGTGTTTACTTACTTGTTTTATTAGATGCATTGCTTTAAGAATGATACGTGGGAGAATTAGGTATATAAGAAATAAAATACAGTGGCTTAGTTTACCCCAATTTAATTTACGTTAACTTTTTACAAACAAGCAAGGGGTGGCTCTTAGGAGGGTTCGGCCAGGGAAAAAGAGCCTGAGAAAAAAACCCTGGTCGGCTATGAAGCAGCAAAGGAATACGCGGTCAGGCATTGTACTTTAAAAATTACGCAAATTAATGTATTGGCGATATGGCTCGATACTGCATTTAAACAAAGATTTAAAACTGAAGAATATTGGTGTTAGTTAGCCGGGCTATGCCCAGAATGTAACGGGGTCCCAATATGGGAGGCAACCCGCCTATTTTAGTTGAAGGGTCGGGGAAAAGCGATGCAACCCTAGAGAACCTAGGGCAACCTGTTTCCCCTCACGGGAGAAAAATATTAGTTCATACAACAAAGGCCCACGCACACAAACAAAGAGTACTCAAAGTTGGACAATAACGGTCAGCACTCCTTGTTAAGCACCGAGTAATTTCGCAATACATCAATAGCTTTGGACTGATCATAAAACAATGCTTAACCACGTTATAGAAAAGGGTACAAAATGATGGGTTAAGCACAAACAAAATACAAGGTTACATTTGAGCGGTACAAGCATTGAGCATAGCAAATTATTAAAATTATAGTGATAACAATAAAAGCGAGAATAGGGGTGGTAATAGTTAAAAGAAAAGGGTTAAAAATAACGTAAAATACAGCTAAACGTAATAGTAAAGGATAAATATACTCATAGTAGCAATAATCATATAATAATAATATTAACAATTTGAAAATGCACAATATTACGTTTAGTTAATTTTACTACACATTTAAATAGATTAAATATTTAGAACTAACCTTGTAGAATACACTAACAACACTTTTAACAATGATTTTAGAACAATAATTTACTTTTACAATTTTACCAAAGAAAACGAACTGTACTGCACCAAATTCAAAACGCTTCTTCCTCATTTCTCCTTTCCAAAAACCTTCTTCGTTTACCTCTAGTGGAAATTCCTCGCCCAACGTGTACGCCACATGTGCTCTTTTTCAAGCTCCAAGCATACCTCTCTTGTTTGTTTGATAATTTTTCTACCTAAATTTGAAATTTATCTTGCCTTAAAAATAAGGTTTTATTACTTAATCCTATTTTAAAATTATAAAAATAAAATATATAATAACACGTATTCTAATAAATTTATACAGGGTATTTCTTTTTCGGAACCATTACAATATATATATATATATATATATATATTTATTAATAAACAAAAACGGATCTCGTCTTTCTTTAGCGTGTATATCGACGCACCCTGCCTTCATCGATAAGTTAGAGCCTGGCTTTTCATTTTATCCTGGATGTCACTTTTCCGATTTTTGTTCACTTATATACACCGTATAGTTTGCACATACTTAGGCAGAGGGCGCTCATCACAGACCACATACGTATACTTTTTATAACTAAGATGAGATCCGAAAATCTGACAACGTTGCAGACCTCATGACCCATTCAAATAATAGTCAATTTCACCGCTGACAGATTGTTTAGGCCTACAGGCCGCGCTTAATAAAATAATTTTATATTTGCAATAAATTAATTTAGTTAAGTTCACCTTTAAGGCCTGTATAAAACTTTAAATCCGGTTTAAAATTTAACTGTTTTTTAGAATAACAACGAGTATTAACCATTATCTATGTTCTAGGCATAGTAAACAGTATTAAATTTTAATCCGGATTTAAAGTTTTACAACCCGGTCTAAGTGTTTAGTAACAATGGTTATATTACTCGTATACAAATTATATTCTTAAAAATGTCAAATTATGATGAAATTCAATTTTAGCCAACAAATTCGTGTAGGAAAAATTGATAGGGCAAGAAAAAATTTAATGGAATACTCTTTATTAAAAAAACATTATCATAAACATAAATTAAATAAATAATGTATTAAAAGCATCAAAACATATACAGTAGTTATTGTTTCCTTAATACATTATAAATAAATACCTTAATTTGCAACCAAGTTTTATCTTGAAACATGTCCCTGTATTTATTTTGAAATGCATCACATTCGTTATTCTTGGGAGTAATCTTATTTTTAATATTCTTTTTAAAATACTCCATCATTACAGATTTTTGTTTGCTATTCCATGTGCCACGTTGTTTCTCTTTTTTTTCTTTTTCCTGTATTTTTTTCTTTTTAGATTTAGAACCACCACCCACCTCTTTATTTTCATCCCCCGGAATTTCTACATTTTGTTCTTTATTAAATTTTTTAAAAGGGTTGAGAATTGCATCTAAATGTTTTATCGTCACAATATGCAGTTCGCATTCTTCACTATAAGATTTCTCATCACTATCTTCATTCAATGGTCGTTTTTTCTCTAAATTTTCTAGCTGAATATCAATTTCTTCAAGAGTTTTTCCTTGAAATTCAGCTCCTTCCCCCTTATCCATCATTAATAATAATTTAGCTATTTTCGCCGTCTGATAGACATCTTGTGGTAACCTATAGAACTCTTCGTGGGTTTTTTTGGTGTGTCCCATAAAAGACGCCACCTGTTCTTTTTCAGTCTCATTCAAATTTATTACTTGTAAAACAGTGGCTATTTGCTTTCGCAAGCGTGAAGATGTTAACGTTTTTGAATGTGTAGCACCACTGCTTAAGGCATATTTGCGGAGGACTGATGACCCATCTATCCATTTGTCCTTACTACCAATCAGGGCGAAAAGAAATGGATTTTCTTTTGGAACTAACTGATTGTTCTCTCTACCAAATAAAAGAGCATCTACGTACTTTTGAACATTTGTGGGAAACAAAATAGACTTGCTACCTTTTCCAATAGTAATTATCCTTTTAAAATGTTTTGATAAGAGTTTTTCCTGTTCAGATAATGCATTTAGACACTCTTCTTGATTTACGCCAGTTGTGATTTGTGTATAGGAATCAACTTTGATGTACTGTACATCTCCAACCCTCTTTCGATTTAACAAAATAGTCAAAACAATTGCAGCTTCGGATAATTGTTTAAATGATAGCGTATCATTAGCATCCCCATTTTAAATATTAAAGCTTTTTTCAGCAACGGTAACAGCATATTCTCTGAATTTAATAACATCACTTGTTATCGGCAACTTCTGAATTTGTTTCCCGTGTTTTTCATTGAGATCTTTCAATGCCAAACTGCCCATATCAAATTTCCATCTTTCGTCTACCAACAATCGAAACTGTTTCACAGGCTTAAGAGCTTCCGTATAATCAAGTACAGGTAAAACAGGATTTTGCTTTAATAAAAGCGTCTTAGCTGCTAAAGATGCAGCCAACAGGATTGTTTTTAAATGCATTGCTAAAGACGGTGCCTTAAAGGTCTTTGACGTGGGGTCATAGCCAGAAATTATATGTGCTGCATGAACAACTTTATCATAATGTTTTGTGTTCATTGCCTCCAGCATTGATTTTATGTCATATACATCTTGAAGTGCAATAAGGAGCCTACCAAGCTCTCGAACTTTATTAGAAACTGCATGTTGAATGTGAGGTGTTTTATGTTTCCTTAAATAATCCTCGGCGTATTGACAAATAACAGGGTCATTTTTCCCATTGAATGATGCTCTGTCAGCATGCATTTTTGAAAATACTTCAGTCTTTAATCTTAGTGTATCCAAGAAAGGTTTCCGAGATGCTTTAAAAACTAAAAGATTTTGACCTAGACTTGCAACATTGCATCGTTCATCATTTTTTGGATTGTACAAACATGTTTTGGAATGTTTACGCAGTGACTTTAAGCGATATATGCCCTTACAATAGGGACATGGCAAAAACTCTTGAGCTTCTTCGCTGATTTCCCCGCTTCGTTCATATCTAGTTGTGGCTCTTTGAACTGGTCTAATTTTATTTTCGTCCACTAAGGACAAGTTCCCTTCCTTCCTTAACAGATTTATCATTTGCCTTCTTTTCTGATCACCTTTCGGAAGCTGCATAATTTTACGAACTGATTCTTCTTCTTTGTGATTTCGAAATAGATGTCTTGAAAAATTTGTAAAATCACGATCACAATAAATACATCTGTCTCTCTTATCCCATATTCTGGACTTACGGTGGCTAATCTCAACTGTGCTTTTTGTGACACCTATTACTCCAAAAGTATGAATATTTAAATTTTTTCTTTCAGTCTTCGTAGTTGCTTCTTTTTTGTCACTAACATTCGTCTCTTCCTTTGTTGGTACACTAAGGGCTTTTTTATTTTGATCAATGCTTTTGTTAGAAGGGGGTAAAACAATATTTTGTAAAATTTTAATTTTAGAACTCTCATATGTGTTAATTTCGTTTCTGACTGGTACTGAATTTTGAGTTTCACAAGTTAAATTTAGGCCAAGGTCTCTAAAGGACTCATTATCATTCTGTTGAACAAACAGACTCTCATGTTGAGAAAGTGGGTATGTGATTTCTGGTAAGGCATTTAAAGAACGTTTCTTAATTGACTTTTCCTTAGTCACGTTTTTAAAGGAGGACTGGCAAATATTGATTTCCATATTATTTACTGATCCCTTATATTGAATGGTTGGTGTAGGTTGAATTTCTTTTGATACACATGACTGAAGTTCGCTGCTAGTATCTGAATCCTCATTCTTATCCGGTTCCCAAGATATTGACGAATCTTCAAACTCGGTTGGAGGTATTGCTTGGTCGTCACTAAAATTTGGTTCATGATCTTGTGCCAATTTAGATTCCTTTAAAAAACAAAAACTCAGATTAGGTTAGTAAATTTAATTACTTTCTAAATATCTTTTAAAAATGATTGGTACATAAATTTTAAACAAATTCTAAAAATTGTCTGTAAAATTAGTGAAATCCTTCAGATAATGTAAAAATCGATCCGTGTATCAGTTTTTATAGCATTACACTAAACTGCATAACACCAGTTTAGGCCTAGTTATGAAACACATATGTGACGCGATCCGAGAAAAGGGACCTAATGTTCAAAAACTGTTTTTCGAGATTATAATATTTTAAGTAAAGTGGTAAATGACCTTTCAAAAGCTCCAGATAGAATTTGTTTGTCAAAAAAATTGACATTACCATTCATTTTTTGGAAGTCGAGAGTTACTACACAAACGTCTATGCTGGGTGAACTTCAATCGCTTCTCCTGTAAAACTTAATTTTGGATAATAGGTCCCTTTTCTCGGATCGCGTTACATATATTTACACTCATACCTTTATGCATACCGAGCACAAAGCGTACCGCTAATTGGGCACTGCCCAAAGAAGTTTGAAGAAAGAATATAAAGAAATAGGTAATCCGTCATCTTGGAAAGACCGCCATATTGAATTTGGTATATCACTCATTCTATCATTTTTTACTCGCCAAACCCTTTCATTTAAAATTTTCGGAAAAATTTATTTCATAAAAATGTACATTTTTCAATAAACGCGACTTAAAAATAATAAAAATTGCAATTTTTTTGTATAAATGTTTAAAACCAAACGGCAGCAAGTTTATCGAAATGGTGTACAAAATACAACGGCGAGTAGTTAAAGATTTTAATTTGACAATAAAAAATACATTTTTTCTAAATTCTAAAATTAAGTATTTTTGAGAGAGAACAAAAATTTGAAAAAAGTATTTCTCCACCGTGAATTGAACCCGGACCTGCTGCATGGGAGGCCGGTAACCTAAACATCCTACCAATCCGTGTCTAACAATTTATAAGCAAATTAAATAATTGGAAAGAATAAACTTGGAAATTGTAATTGGAAATTAGATAATAATGAAGGTTTATTGTTTATGTTTATTGTTTTTAACAATTAAAACGATCTTTTTACCATTTGTATAATTTTAAATAAATGAAATTAATTTTTGTTAAAACTGAATGAATCCTCGCCTAGGCCGGCAATCTGCTTACAATGCATCTGGGGAGGGGCGATCGGATTTACTCGTATAGCTCTCTGTCTCCTTCTCTCTACGTTATATCTTTTTTCTCTCTCGTGTAACGAAATCTCGAAACGTTACATTTTTCACAAATCACTCTCCATTCTCGTCAAATATCAGAACGCCACCAAAGAAGTTTCACTTTAAAAATGGCTTTTGCATTTTTTTATTTTATTTAAAGGATAATACACTAATAAATAGTCAATTTTTCTGAAAATCGACTATTTTTACAGATATTATCTGTACACTAATATCGAGAAAATTTTAAATTCATTAGAAGATGCCAGTGAAGACTACTCTTTCATGAGAATAAGCAATTTGTATTTTGTTCAGTTTTATTTGTTTTTTTTTGTAAATAAGTATATTTTCGTATTTTCGAGAAAAATATCAATTAGATTCAATTTAATGTTAAGTTTTATTTGTTTTTTCTCTGTTATAAAGGATTTAAAAAAATAATAAAATAATGTCAAGTTGTTGATTGCTACTTTTATTAAAATGTGTAGGAATATTTTGCAAAAAAATTATTTTTTTTACAAAAAAAGGCATGGAAAAAAAACGAAAAAAAAACCGTTTTTTTCCTCCAAGATCCTCGAGGTTTTGAAGAAATAGGCAACCCGCTGTTGTAGGGCAGCTGCCATATTGGATTAAGTATGACTTCACACCTAATAAAGTATTGTCACCAGCACCCAAAGTGTGTGGGACTGCCCTGCTAAGCCAAACCCCCGTATATACAATGATAAGTAATAAAGGACAAAAGATCATTTTAATTGTTAAAAACAATAAAAATTATCTTTTGTCATGTATTAATTAATATTGCAGATACAGGGATATAAATGTTTCCAATAAGGTGACAAATGATGCATTTAGAGGATTCACAGGTTGAATTTTTATAATCAAATGGCTTTATTATAAATATTATTTGTGGCGGATCCTTAACATCTTGTATCTTGTATTTGGGCATATGAATCGACCTTTCAACATACTGCCCTGCTAACCCAAACCCCAGTATGTACTGCAATATTAAGCAATAAAGGATAAAGAATCATTTTAATTGTTAAAATACAATAAAAATTATATTTTGTCCTTTATTACAGATACGAAGGTTTAGCTTAGCACAGCTGAACAGGTCTCGTTTAAATTATCGGATACATTTTTTGTAAATTTAAAAAATTGTTTTAAATTTTAATTTAAATACAACTAACCTGTCTTTTTCGCAGATTCCAAGTTTTTTTCTCCTTCCATTTTTTAAAATCTATCCAGGGTTCCTCATTCTCTTTAAAGTCTCCTATTTCGTATTCATCACTTTCAGTACTGCTTTTTTCGGAAAATTCATCAGAATCTGTGTGAATTAATGTTTAAAATAAATAAAATAGGCAGTAGAAAAAACGCTAAATTCATAAGTCGCTTGGTACGACCCTTATACATTCTGCTAGATACACAAGTAAAAACACCTGTTAAACTGCAGCTAACAAAAATGCACTATTATGACCGTATGACTTACAAAAGAAAACATGCCTTTGAGGTTATGTTGGCTAAAGTGTTACGCAGGATCTCACCATGTCATTTATACATCAATATATACAACGAATGATCTCAACTTGACTACTTTTTTAGTTGATCTCACTTTGCTAAACTTTTAATAAAAAAATTAAATCATGAAATTTATTTCCTCTTTAAAGTAGTTACATTTAAAAGGACCATTTCCAGACTATTTATGAAGAATATACTCGACAACTGGCAGTTTTTAGGACGGATCTCTGGTTGTCCAAGTTTTATTCGGATCTCGAGTTGGTCCAAAACTATATATATATATACACATCTAAGATTACCATTAATACATATAATAGCTGTACATATCTAGGTACTTATATGAGACATGTCTTTAATAAAATCAATAGTAATGTAGCATTAAAAACTAACAACAACCTTAGTGGTGTATCAAAGCACCACAGGTTAATAAAACAAGAGATTGTACTTTATTATTATTATGTACTCTCAAGGGGCTATGCACGCACAGTTTAGAGCACCTAGCCGATGAGACTCTTGTACTCTATCCCCCCCGCATTACCTTAGAGCTGCCGAAGATATTGTCCTTCTTTGCAGAAGTCTAATATCTGTCCCACACTTAGCTCCCTAACCTGCTCCGGATGGATCTCCGTCTGCCCAAACACCGCGAATCTGGTCCTCGCTAGTGCTACACATTTGCACAAAAAGTACTGGGAGTCTTCAATCTCCTCCTCGCATCTTTCACATCGTGGAGATGTCGTCTTTCCTATCACGTATCTGTGCTTGTTCAGATTGTTGTGGCCGGAAACGATTTCCACAACAGCCCTTATTTTTGGTCTGCTCAGCTTCAGGAGCTCTACCGACCAGGTTTCTACACCGCTGCCCATAAGGGTCTTGCCTGTGTTGCATCCCGGGCTTTGCTGCCACTCTCTCGCCTGTTCGCGCTTTGTCCATGCTTTAATGAGGTTTACGCCCTCCCTGAACGGCATGCCCACTACCTTCTCTTGAGGACCACATAGAGTGGTGCCCTCCTTTGCTAATCTATCGGCTCTTTCGTTGCCTTTCCATCCGGCATGACCTGGAATCCAGGCAAGGTTGAGCCGATTCCCTCTAGCGACTCGCTGGAGTGCCAGGATGGTTTCCTCTATCAGCTTGGATGAGAAAGACTCATTAACCAAGGCTTTTAGAGCAGCTTGACTGTCTGAGCAAATCCAGATGTCTCCACCTGTACCTCGTTCAGACAGAACCCTCGCGCATTCTTTTATGGCGAGAACTTCTGTCTGTCAAGTCTGTAGACAAAGCTGTCCACCGACTTTTGACCACAGAACCCGGCTCCCACTCCTTCCTTCGTCTTTGACCCATCTGTGAACCAAATGCTTCCATGTTTTGGGCCAAAGCCTTGCTCCCACTGCTCTCTACTGGGGATATGTACCTTGAAACACACCCCTTCAGCTAGCTGGGTTTTTATCCTGTCCTGCGGCATACTCCATATTTCTTTAGGACAGCTTCTCTGAAGCTTCAGATGTATGAAGCTATCTCTCCATTCACCCACACAGTGAAGTCTGTAAGCCGCTCGCATCGCCGCAGCCTTGCTTCCCAAAGCCAGCGACGGAACGTCTAGTAAGACTCTTAACACTGCGCTCGGGGTGCTTCTTCTTACAGCGCATATAGCTCTGAGAAAAGCTGCTTGTACCTTGTCCAGCATTCCGCGAGCGGTCTTTAGCAAAGTACGCTTCCACCAGACCGGTGCTGCATAAACAAGCCTGGGAACAATGATTGCCTGGTAGATCCACATCATCTGCTGTGGACCAAGACCCCACTTCGCTCCCATGGCCCCTCTACACTGCCAGAAGGTGATCATTGCCTTTTGGCATTTATCCTGCAAGTGTTTCCCCCATAAGAGCTTTCTATCTAGGATGACTCCCAGATATTTGGTCTCTTCAGAAAAGGGAATCTGCAGCTGACCGATCGTAACGTTTGCCAGTTTTTTGAGTTTGTATTTCCTCGCAAACCTTACGACCGCTGTCTTTTGGGCCTGTATACTAAGTCCCTTCTCAGCACACCACCTCAGTACCTTTTTAAGAGCCCCTTGGATTAGGTCCCTAAGTGTTTCCTCATGTGGGCCTCTGACCAGGAGACAAATGTCATCTGCATAACCAATAGCCCGTATGCCGTCTTTGTTTAGCAGCTTTAACAAGCTGTCTACAACCAAGCACCACAGTAGTGGGGATAAAACTCCGCCCTGCGGACATCCTTCTGACACATTGCCTTCCAATTGTTGACCTTGCCAGCTAGTGCTGAGAATTCTACCCGATAGTGCTGACATTATCCATTTGATAATGCCCTCGGGCACTCCATGTTCCTCTGCACCTCGCCGTATGGCGTTTTTTGAGGTGCGATTAAACGCCCCCTCAATGTCTAGAAAGGCGCCTATGCAAACGCCTTTCCATTCCAGTTGCTCTTCTATGTAGTTGCAAACCGATAAAAGTGCCGTGTCCACGGATCTACCCTTCTGATAAGCGTGTTGTTCCTTGTGAAAGGGCAAGCCTTTCAAAGGACCCGCTCTCAGAAACCTGTCGATCAGTTTCTCTAGAGTTTTCAGGAGAAAGGACGTAAGACTTATTGGTCTGAAGTCCTTTACACTTGTATAACCCTTTTTGCCTCCTTTTGGGATAAATACAACTTTGGCTTTGCGCCATTCTTCCGGGGTGTGTCCGACCGCTATGCACCCTCTAAAGAGCCCCACCAGCGCACCCAACGCCACCTCCAGGCTCTCTCTTAGGACAACCGGGTAGATACCGTCGGGACCAGGCGATTTGTAGAGCTCAAAAGATTTCACAGCAGCCTAAACCTTCCTCGCATCAACCACTTTGGCTGCCAGTCCCCAACACCTTTCCGAGCATGTACTTACAGTTATATATTTCTTATTTTGTTATCTATATAGTATGTGTAATTTAATTTAAAATTCATCTAAATAAATATTTTTAATTTCTTATTTCCTCCATATCCATGAATATCTTCTTATATTTTCTTAATTTATTATCTTTCTTCTTATTTTATTCTTCTTATTTTATTCGTGTATTTTTCTTATATTTTTCCTTGTATTTCTTCTCGTATAATTTTCTTTTATTATCTGTATTTTGTTTATGTATGTTATATATTATTTATTTTATTTATATTTTATGATGTATATTAAATTATGTAAATTTTATGATTATGATTCTTTTTTTGTTATTATTATGTTATGTTATTTTTGTTATCTATTCATGGATAACTATTTTTTAATATATAAGTATCAAAGATATTATTGATAGTATTAAGTTGGGACTCTCAACTAACAATGACACAAAATAAAGGTTATGTAACCAAAGTCACATCGACAACTTAAACCAACCCATGGCGCAATACTTGGCGCCAACATACTCCCCGGCTTTGAAATGATAATTTCAAAGTAAGTTTAAATAATAAAATTATATGACAAGTTTAATATAAACTATTTTAAACAAAGACAATATATTTAATTAAATTTAAATTAAATATCACAATATTTAATATCACTGTGTTGGAAGGGGGCAAATTTTTACCACAGATCGCTTAAAAACTCCATTTTGAGATCGCACTAATGCTACCCTGATAACCCCATCCTTTCCAGGATAAAATTGTTCTATAATACCTAAAGGCCAATGAAGTGGAGGCACATCATCATGTTTTATCAACACAATTGTTCCTACACTAATAGGTATATTTGATTTATTCCATATTTGTTTTAATTGTAATGTATGTAAATATTCTAAATGCCATTTTTCCAATAGGATTTAACTAAATTATCTAATAACTGTTTTCTTCCTCTTAAAGTTTGATCAGAATATGAACTAAATGGTAAGCATTGAAGGGGAGTTGACATTAAAAAATGAGCAGGTGTAAGAATTTCTGGTTGAGGTTCATCATTTAATAGACCAAGTGGTCTGGAATTTAACAAACATTCAATTTGAATCAATATTGTATTTAACTCTTCATAAGATAATAATTGCTTACCAATAACTCTATATAAATGAGTTTTAACACATTTTAAATTTGCTTCCCAAATACCTCCAAAATGAGGAGCAGATGGAGGAATCATTTTCCAATCAATTTTTTTAATATTTAATTCTTTTTGAAATGACTGTTTCATTTCCTTTGAATATAAAAAATTATACATTTCATTTAAATGTCTTTTAGCTCCTATGAAATTTGTTGCATTATCCGAATATAAACATGAAATAGGCCTTCTTCTTGAAATAAATCTTTTAATTACATGGCGTAAATCTAAATTGTTTTTAAATTTACGCTCTAAAAATACTAATCTACATTTAGCAATAACATGAGAATTACCTAATAAAGAAGAATCTTTTTTAAATGGTAATTCTACAATATCTCTTCCAGAAAAATCTCTAAAATAAGATGATTTATAAAGATTTTTACAAATTATATCATCAGAGTTTTGAATATAATCTGAAGGGATTTCTTCTTAATTCCAAAATTTTGTTAAATTTATATTTAAATTTTCATTTGTGATTGGCCCAAAAGTCCAACCTAAATTAAAATGTGAAAATGAATTATTTAAAATTGTATCAACAGGTACATCACCAATTAAAATATAGCCCAATGTAGTTTCAAGTGCTTGAGGTGCAATCGAATTAGAAGGAGGAATAATTCGACCTGTTAATAACAAATTGGGAAATAATTGAGCCCCTAAAATAATCTCAACTTCCCCAGGAACATTCCAAGATTCATCTGCTAATGATATATTTTTTAAATAATTGAATGCTTGTGTATTTATATTAGTTATAGGTA